AATGTTTACCTCTGCGTACATCACGAAAACTTACAAGAAAATAATACATTATTGTTAACATAGACAGAATAAAACTGCATTTAATTATAAAATGTAATTTCGGCTTATGTACACAAAATTTACAGGTTCCTTCATTTAAAGTGGCTTACTGCAGTCTGGGCTTTGTCAATTTAAGAATCTAGCGAATAAAAAAAATGTATTTTGTTTATTAAAACTTTCGAGATTATGTGCAATTATTTACAGACTATGTACAATCATTTATACATAGATTTTAAAAATCAGTTCTTTAAAAAAATTCTTGTTAAATAAAATGATAAAAAACTATACTAATTTTTCATTTTTCTCGAGTTGTTGAAAATCCAAAGGTGCCATGGAAAAACCACCTTTGGTTTCCTCTTCTGAAGGATAGTACTTCCCAGACTCCTTCGCTGCCTTTTTCCTCAGATAAAAAAACAGAATCACTATGGCAACCAGCAATACAATTAACACAAATGCAATGCCTAAACCTAGTTCCAGGTCCCTCGATACTGGTTGCTGGTGACGTGCACCAGCGGTTGGCTCCACTGACGTTTTATTTTCACAAAACCGACCGCTGAATCCAGTATCGCAGATACATCGGTAACTTCCTTTAATGTCTTCGCATGAAGAACTGTTGCTGCATTTGTGTGTCCCGGATGAACAYTCGTCGATATTGTTACTACATCTGTATCCATAGAAACCGGTTCCTTTGCATACACAATCAAAACCATTCTTGTTGTTGACGCAAATGCCKTTATGCAARCAAGGATTGCTAAGGCATTCATCAATGTCAYTATCGCAAGTYCGTCCAGTGAAACCAGGAGGGCAGCTACAATCGAAAGACCCTGGAGTGTTCGTGCACGTTGCATCGTTGCGACAAGGTGACGATAAGCATTCATTGACATCATCGCTGCAATATTGCCCCTGGTAGCCTGTGCTTGTGCAGTCGCATGAAAACGATCCAAAGGTATTATTACACAATCCATGTGCGCACGGATTTGTTAAACATTCGTCGACATCTCGTTCACAGCGTTTTCCTTGAAATCCTTGTGCACACGAACATGAAAAGTTTGCAACGAGGTCAGTACAGTTGGATTCATGTTGACAAGGGTTTGGCAAACAATCGTCTATATTGATTCCACAAGTTAATCCGGTAAAACCGGTCTGACACGTACATAAATATCCGGCGATCTTGTCCTGGCAAACCCCGCCGTTTTCGCATGGATTTGGGGAACAATCATCAATGTTCACTGAACAAGTCGAACCAGTAAATCCAGAAGGACATTGGCAAGTGTAGCTATCAACACCATCTTTACATGTTCCACCGTTTTTGCAGGGATTTGGTGAGCAATCATCGATGTTTACTGAACAAGTCGAACCAGTAAATCCAGAAAGACATTGGCAAGTGTAGCTATCAACACCATCTTTACATGTTCCACCGTTTTT